ATCTCAGATATGAATCATCAAAATTGAATAAATTTGTAGCCTATATTGTTCCCTATCTAATGAGATGTGGCCGATCTCAAACGGTCAAACTATTCATGAGAAAATGTCAAAATACTGAGCACACCCATTTTTAGCGGATTTTTAGGGTCAAAATTGACCCCCTTACACTTGTTTTAGCTCGCATTTTCCATAGGTAAAACCAAATGACCTAATATTTTGGATTTAACTATAGATTACCTAGACCTATCTTTTAAGAAAATAAAATCGAAAAAAAAAATTTTTTCCCCGGCGACCTAGGGTGGTCCTCTGGCGGACCCTCTCTTAAAAGAGACTTCAGAAGCCTTTGAAAGACTTTCAAGACTCCATGAGACTTCACGGCTGAAGTCTCTGCTGTTTCCCCCTTGCATTTCATACAATTCGAAACCTCTAAGACAAAGTAACGAAACTTTCAACAGATTATGGAATTATGATAAGACGACTGCGTTTTGTCGCTTCTTCAGGAGTTTGTTTTACATTTGTAAAGTTTATGCTTTGACGAAGGTAATTCCACTACAAAAACCCATTGTAATTCGTTTTTAGCGAACAGTAAACTTGTTTTTCTTCTAACAGATGGCGCTCCAAATAAAGTGTCGGAAATTCAAAATTAAAGCAGAATTTATTTTTATATATGGCTAGATAGAGCGCAAGGGGCTAACCAAGAATATTGGTGTTTTCATGTTTTTGGAAAGAGTTTTTAGAGGAAAATTTTCAGTTTTTACGACGACTTACTTTTCTGAAAAAAATGTCAATATTTTTGTTTCCTTCAAATTTTAAAACTGTTTGTTCTAGGTTCCGCGTTGAAAATTGAATCTATAAAAGCCATGAAGCTATTCAGATAAAGCATAATCGTTATATAGGCACCACAAGAGTGGAGTGATCGAATCGCCAGTGGTTGTACTTCGAAAAATATACCTCGGATTTTTCGAGATTCTTTTTTTCTGCTGAGAAAACTCATTTTCTGGGTCTATATCTCACTGCCTTCTCTAATTTCACCACTCTCGTACTCAAGACAAACATATAATTGTACTCAGCACAGAAAATTGAGTCGACATATAGGCGTTCGAAAATATTTTTAGAACTTTTATTGTGCTCGAAAAAATCTTCCACTGATCTCCCTCAGAGTTAGGTGAAAAAGTCTATTTGGTGAGTAATACCACTCTAAGTATGCAAACAAGGACGCACATGTGCAGCATATTTGTAGATCCGAATATCAAAGATAAGTATTGACTAATAACGACATTTTGAGGAAATTATGCTAAAAATATCAAGCCGATAGAGCATGTCTTGATGATACAAGAATAAAAATAATAAAATCATAAAATCTTGATTGGGCTCAAAATTATTTATCCAGTTAATTTCTCATGGAAGAAAGAAGTTGAGTTCTAATGATAGATAAGAAATTAAATTATTTTTGTCTACGAACTTCTCATTTTAATTTTTGTCGTTCAATTGAGTACTAATAATCATAGTTTCCTTATTTTCTTCTCATATATCCCAAACTTGAAAGTTGAATTTACAATGTTCAATTATTCGAGTTTTCAAGTATTGAGCTCACGTATTCACGTTTTCCTGGAGATACATGCAAGGACAACTTGATTGCCGACAGCGCCACGAAAGCACATGCACAACTTGTTACTTTTGGAATGCCAGAATAGTTGAATATTTGAATACTTGAAGGGAGACTTCAATAATTCAATTCAACTTTCAAGTTTGGGATATACGAGAAGAAAATAAGGAAACTATGATTATTAGTGTTCAATTAAAGGACAAAAATTAAAATGAGCAGTTCATAGACAAAAACAATTTGATTTCTTATCTATCATTAGAACTCAACTCCTTTCTTCCATGAGAAATTAACTGGATGAATAATTTTGAGTCAAATCAAGATTTTATTATTTTTATTCTTGTATCATCAAGACATGCTCAATTGGCTTGATATTTTTAGCATAGACACTCTGAGTACTTAGCTACATTTTGGTGAAAATCGCAACTCAATATCTTGAACTGGAGGAGAGATTTTGGAATTAAATTATTATTAATTGGTCGTCTGAATAATTTTGAGCGCCACTGTATATATTCAGAAAAGATCGGTTTTGGCATGAGTTGCAATAAAAACGAGTTTTCTCAGTAATAGAATAAAATCTCGAACAACCCAAGGTATATTTTTGAAGTACAACCTATAGAGATTCTAATGAGATATGAAAGTTAACTGTATCTCTTTGTAGATAAAACCATATCGCATTACCAAATGCTTGCCCGTAATTCGTACCCCTCAATCCTTGTGGTATCTGAGTTACGATCATGTTATGTCTGCATAGCCTCACAAATGACTTCTCTATATTCAACATGTCACGCTGAATTTAAACGAAAGAAAAAAATTTACCTATATTTCAAGAGAAAATATATCAACGTAAAAATCTGAAATTTTTCATCTGAAAACTCACTCCAACAACATGAAAGCACTAATATTCTTGGTCAACTGGTCATGCTCTATCTCACCATATATAAAAACAAAAAAGAGAAAGAAATTCTGCTTTGATTTTGCATTTTCGACATATTAGCTTATTTTATTGTAATCCATTATTTGTTATTTTGTTTTTCATTCATAGCAAAAAGCGAAAGCCCTAATAATAGTTCTTAAAGCGTAGTTCGGCTATTAATAAACTGATCATATAATTCTTTAGTTAGGAATTTGAAGGTAGATGGAGGTTAATAGATGACTCATACCCCACTACACGTTTCACTACTAATTTAATTAAAAAGTAACTGCTGAGAATGATGATACGAGTGATCAGTGCTCAAGAACATTTTTTACCAAAGATAATTATGCATAGACAATTATTTACGAGAACGACAAGTATACTGTGAATTTATTTTAAATTTTATTTTGTAGAAAACCGACTTTAAATTGCCTAAAACATTTTCGAACATTTGTTATTCATTCTTCGAATTTTAAATATTCAGAAAATGCTTGATTTTCTAAATTATCGACAATCACTTTCGATTTGAAAAAAATCATTGTATTAATATTGATATCTTTCTTACAACTGTTTTAGAGAATCGATCATTATAATTGATTATGACATTAGACGTGTAATATATGATTTGTACCATGAAATAATTTACATTATAATCAGATGCAAATATCTTTCATTTCTAAATTTTATACTTTTCGCTCGTTATAGTACATCATTTAAATGAAATAAATAACAGAGTAAATATGCATATGAATTATCATTCAGTTTTCGTATCCTGTTAATATGAAAACATAAAAAATGCTTTAGATAAACAGAAGTGTGCAAGATTAGTATAACTACTCAGTCTAAACAACCATAATTTCATTTATTCATGTCTGTTTGTCTGTTGATGATCTTTTTTTTTTGAGATCAACAGAAGAATGACTTGACGGATACTAACCTAAATGTTTGGTTAAAAAGATGCACTTTTGCTGCAATACCGATTTGTTATGATGTGTTGACATTGGAAAAAAATTGTGGAGCTCTGAAGTTAGTGCATCGGATATTAATATTGCATTGGGTAAGAATGAAGTTTTAACACACAAAGTAGAGGATTGTTATTGCATAAATAATTGATATTTCATTCGTGTATTTCATCGTTTAACTCTCGTTGGCCAATTTTTTGAATGTCTTGATGCTGATATGTCTATTCGACTTGTTTTAAAATCTTTCGTACGCATTTGTTTATTGAAGACTTAAGAGAGACTAAAACTATTTATCTCATTTTTTGTCTTTTTTTGTACTCTATATTGGATTAATAATATATGGAAAGGGCTAATGAAAATCCTTTGGCATGGTTTGCTGAAAATCGCTATGATAAATACATAAAAAAAGTTTATAGTATCGGCGAAGTTTTCACTATTTAATTATCCAGTATATTTTTTTTATCTAGTTTAGAAGAAGAAATTGATGGTTTATTTTTATTACATTTAAGTTGATTATCAATTCAAGGATTATTATTGATTATACAGATGGCAATATTAGTAAAAAAACCAACTATTGTTGTAAAAACAACATTCGAAAAAAAACTGGAGAAATTGAGAGAATGTTTTTTCAAGCAATAAGCAAGTGTTTATCCATTTGCTTTAACTGATCAGCATTGCTTTCTTTTTCATTTTAGTAGTATACTTATACAACAATTACACTTCAATGGATCAAATATTTTATTATTTTTCAATGATTTCAATATTGATAATGTAAAATACGATGTTGAATAGCATCATCAACTCAAAATATATCTACCAACTTCGTATACGTCAATTCAATCATCTTTATTGAATTCAAATTGTTGACAACCTATTGATGATGTACCACTTGACAAAATGATCCATCAACCATCAGATAATTCTTCAACAAGCTAAACAACATGCCAACCGAAAAAAGTTCCATTGAATTATGTGCTTCCCAGGTTTGATAAAGTTGTTGAAGAAGCTGCTGAAGATACATTACCAACAGACTTTTGAGCCTGATGCAGAAAGAAAGAACAATTAGTTAAAAACAATCCATCAGGATGTAGTCTATATTTTTAATATCGATTTTTATTCAACAGTATTTGAATTCGATCAAATGATGGTTAACGTCAAAAATAAATATCTAGCACTTGGTATACTATTAGTGAAGATATGATATGTTGATGGAAGACCGAATACTTCTTTCATCTTTATTTAACTTTTTTTCTCATTTAGAGTTTTTTTAGCGTGACCATTAAAACAACAAATATTCGCTTATTCATCTGAAGTATTGGTGAAAAAATGAAAATCATACGATCATCGGATATCAAGACTGACATTGAAATTTTAAAGATTGACTATACATTTAGTCGAGTAAAAGTCAAACTATTATGTTATATTCTCTGAATTTTTTTTGTTCGTTTAAGAATGTTTCGTTGAATAAAAAGAACAATCAGAAGAATCTTTGATGCAATTATGTCAACAAGCCGATTAGATGCATGTTTTAATTTATACAACAAATTATGATTATGGTCAAGTTGAAGTTAAAATGGATATTATTTTCATTTGGTAGGTTTTTTCTTCTTATGTTAAAGAAAACAACATCAAAGGAAACATTCATGTTACAATCAGATGTCGCTCGCTACAAAGATAGTTTTAACACCTTTCTGATTAGAAATTTACACAAACGAATAACAAACCACATCGACAAAAATAACGCTTGTTTACTATAGAGAAAATCTAATAAAACTATGGCAAATATAATTCAAGTAAATTTGTCTTTTACTACAAATTAAATTTGATTTTCATATACTTATGTAGATGATTGAAGAGATATTGTCCTTCTATGATTTGCAACCATTTGTATTTGATATAGTTTTGGTATATAATAGAGAAAGTAACCTGAAGAAAACATTGGAGAAATTCACGGTGGTGCATTGAGGAGAAGCATTCTATCAAACCGAAATGGATTAGGCAAGAAAAGATACAGTATTTGGTGATTATTATATTGATTCAATTGACGATGACGATGATCAAATTAATGGAAGTAATAGCGAAGAAGATGATAGCTCTTGTGATGATGATAAATTACTTGATAAAAGAACCATATCTGTTAGTTATTCCTTTACAACACCAAGCCGAAATCAATGTTCTCACTATTCTTGCTCAATTACTATTAGTTTCAAAACGTGTTTTAGTAACTATTATTCAGTACAAAGAGCTGGTGAAGTATACAAAAAAAATGTAAATCCAATATCAAGATTCTTTTGTTACTAACTTAGAGAAAATAGAAAATCTGAACGCTTTTAAAAAATTCTTAGCAGATAGAGAACCTTTTCAGTAGGTACTATATTAAGAATCTTTTAAGGATCCTAGACTTTTCGACTAGAACTTTTTCTCTCTGAAAATTGTGAGCAAAAAGATTCTAATTTGAAAGTCTAGACCCTCTAAAAGGTTTGATAAAATGATATTCATTGAGTAGGTTTTGTATGATGTCTGCTTTTTTTCTTTTTTCTTTTTATAGAAAACGATTCAATAAAAAAACGAATTTTTTTTAGGTCTTTAAATCCATTACTTGAAATATTTAATGAAAAAAGTTTGAACAAGGAAAGAATTAATATAATTAGATCATCTATGCTAGATAAAATAATTGATTTTTTAAAACCATGGACTCATGTAATGAAACGTATTCAATCATTTCAAGTATCATCAATACATACAGTAACACCAAGTATATTTGTAATAAATTCCTCATTAGATATAAGCCAGTGATTATAAACAAGAAAAAGGTCAATGATTACAATTTTCTTTATCTACTTTTGCTAAATAACTTTTTTTTTACAGGTATTGATTTTTTCCGTAAACGAGAACAACAAGTGATCAAAGAATTGATTTCTTTCGATTCCATACATCTCATGAAAACTTTCTTCAATCCTAAGACACAAAAAAATGAAGCAGTTGTCAACAAAATGAAGAGAAGAATGTATTGAATACGTAAAAGAACTGTTGCTTTTTTATGTTAATCAGCATGTTAAATCATCTTCAAACGAGAAATCAGTTTCATTATTAACAAACGCTTTATTTCTAAATGTGACAGATTTTTATTTAAATGTAGAATTTGATGACGAAGATCATGCTGATCAACACGGTTCGTCAAAGTCTTCATCACATATGATCCAAATTGACTTGTATTTAAAGTATGGTACAGATAAAACACATCAGTGACGAATTCTGGTCAAGAAGATGAAGAATATTGTCTATTATCATTTTCGAAGAAGAAACATGCTTCTTATCCTATTTTGGTGATAGCTACTACTCGTGTTTTAGCTGTACCAGCTGCCAGTGCAGCAGTTGAACGTGAGTTCAGCTTTACTGATAATACTATTACACAAAAACGCTCAAAATTACCACCAGATTCAGGAAATGATATTGTTTTCAATCATTAACACTGCTACCTATGTACATCATCAACGTCTTGTTCAAGAAACGAAATCAAACAAAGAGATTGTTTGATTATACCCATCTTTATCAGTGATCGATTCAATCATTCTTAAAGCGTGTATTTTTTTGATCGACTAATAATTCATTGAAATATTGCTGAGTTTGAGCAATTCGTTCGAAGAAGCTGGCATAATCTCAATATCACATACATTTATTTTATTTTTTTCATGAACAATTGATTCGTAAAATCAATCTTTGTTCTGATCCATTTACTGGAGATAGTATTCAAGCATTAAAATCTTGCAAAACTGTAATTAAATCATGTGAGTAATGTATTGGCTATTTTCAAGTTATTCTATAATTTACATCGCTCAATTTTATCCTTGTTTATTGTAAGAAACAATTAATGTATAAAATATTTAATACAAAATATCTAGGCAAGGTTCGAGAAATGTTAAAGATGTTGAATGATTTTTCCTTGAACAAATGATTATTTACCCTATCATTGGCAGTTAAACCATTTTTAGATGGATATAAACTGAATAATCATGCACTATGAAGATACATTATTCTAGGTATAATGGTATGTAAGATAGAATTTCTCAAACTTATAAGTAGTTTTCGAATTGAATAGTCATAAAATTGAAGTCGATTTTTCAATGTTTCAAGAACACTTCAAGAGCTAAATTCAAATAACATTAAAAATCTAATGGAGACATGGATTAATTATAAATATGACAACTTCTAATAATGAGCAGCAACATAAAATAACATTTAAATCATCTATTG